ATTTATTACTCGGCATTTTGGCACCGTCGTCCTGGTTTTCTTAGAGGCCAGAAGGCCCATGGATGCATGGTACTTTAGGCTGTGCATGAAGGCATATTCCACTATTTTAAAAGCAGCTGTATTCGTGGTGTTCATATACAGCTTGAAAGCGTCGGTTGCTTGCTTCGGCAGCTGCAACACAACGCTGCCTGCGAAGTATTTTCAAGGTGCAATGGTAAATCAAGTTACGAATGAACAGTGACTGATGACCATTTGTCTGAGAGAACTGTCAGAATAATAACTTGGGGACCGCCACCTGATCTGATTTCACAAGCGACCCAATTTCCACAAGACACAAGCGGACACAAGCGATCCGATTTCACAAGCGCCTGCCATGAGAAGTACGAATTTTCTCGCAGCTATGACCTAATAATATGTCTGACTAGCAACAAATCAGAGACCTAGATCACGAATCTAGGTCGTTTGCTGTTTCAGTTTTGTTAACCTTTCTTGAGTGAGTACGATGTCAGCAGAAGTTTTCAGCACCTTATTGCATCGATGCATATCGAGGGTATTACTGTTGTGTCGCACAGCCCTTTCACCTCTCTATGTTGACTTAATGAAAAGGTACTAAAATCAGCATATTCGACCTCTTTTGGCAGTCAAAATGGCGAAACAACCGTATACGTTGTTGTTGTTTAGGTTGCAGTTTTAAGGGGGTTTCGAATTACTTCCTTGAGGCATTTCTGAGGAATGGTTGCAAAAGTCAAAGCAGGCGTTCTCTTTGCCGCTGTAACCTTTAAAGTAAAATTTTAAGGGGAACAGCTAGGCTTAAATAAAAGCGTGCAAATACTTTATTGAATTTAGATGCGTATTTTCCGTTTACTGTTTGATAGTGTACATGGATGCAGCAAGTGCGCGATCACAGTTGAATAGCGAGTAAAACCCATCTGAAAATGGTAAACCATCTGTGGTAAACAGTGGTAAAACCTCTGTGGGATATATAAAGTTATGCGTTTTTGACCCAATTTTTGAAGACGATCCTTCATTGATGGGAGAGCCCTAATGTTTAGAAAATTTAAATATTATATGCGGAACACCTAAGGGCTCCAGCGGTGGAAAGATGAGGTGAGCGGCTATAGCCGATTTGGGCTTAGAAGCATCCGCCTTTTTGGGGGCGATCGCTTTGCCTTCTTCCTCTCTTTGGCGATTTTCCTTGGGTTCGATCGACTTAGACAATTGTTAGGTGTAGGATCCAGTCTCTGCCCCTCTTCAGAGATCTCTGACTCTGAAGCTATGTACTTTGTCAGTAATGTGCTCAGGTCAGCAGAATATTACCGATTTATTCGTTTTATTCTTATTTATTATTATTCATAGTCGTTATTGCGCTTCTGAACCAATGAGGTTTCTGGTAAGTTGCTTTGCCGTCTAAATTGAAGACCTATTGGAGATGGTTCAACGAGTACGCGAATTTTTTAAATTATCACCATGTTATTTTTGTAGATTAACAAGGCGCTGTTGCGCCTTGGAATTGAGCCATAGAGCTTATTTAGTCGACAGATGATTCGAACATTGAGAAAGCATGATGAAATTCATACCTCTTCACCCTGAATGGAAAGGCTGGATATAATATAAATTTTTGATGGAGGTGTCTGTCAGTGATCGAAATGAGGACTTGATACGACTCTTATTTAAAGAGTCTTTGCATATCTTTGCTTAAGAAATTTGAGTATGCAGATTCTATGCTAGTTTGATACATAGGATGCATGGAGTTGAATGCGTTGTCTGCTATATCGAATGATGCTGCCCTTGTCATTTTTAATCGCCCCATATGGGCTAAAAAATATATAATTGTTTTCGTTTCAGTTGGGTTTATAAATTTTGTTATTTTCTACACCAGATCGTTTCAGATCTGACGTTATTTGTTTCTACTCTGATGCTACCATCATGCGATGCAATTTCGAATTTTGCAATAACTCAGAATGTCTTCCATCGAGGAAAGTACTCTACCTTTGTCTTGCTTGAGTTCAGTTGATAATAAGACTTTCTGTGAAAGTGTTTAAATTACGGCACATTGTGATATGGTTATGCTGTGCTTAAGTTCCTCCAACTATCGAAGATTCATGGCTGCTTGCCACCATATTCTTGAAATGCGTACCTGGAAGCGCACTCACGATGAATCGGCAGAAATTAAGATGGACTGATTTCAACTTAATGTAATACAACGATATGTGGAAGCGCAGGTCTCAGATATAATCAGCGCTAATGGCGTCCGGTTTACTGGAAAACCAAAAAATTTCAACATAGCTAGCCTGTAGATCACATTCAGCCTTTTTTATATGCGAGCAAATAACACGACTTCCAAAAAATTCGGTATATTTGACATTTTATGGGTAGGAATTACTGTAAGCCATATTAGGAAAGTTTAAGGCTATGAAAGGAAACATGTGGACTACTGCAAAACAGAAATCCCATCAGCATGAATAAAGGGTTGTTTCTTTGATCGTCTTGGTATGAGATTTTAAACGTTTTTTCGCCTACATCTTTACTACTAATGACACACCGTTTCGTCATTAGCAGTAGCTGAGTTCTCTAAGTTGAAAAGTTTGCTTTAGCGCCCACCCTCATTTTCATAAAGTTCAAAATCAGTGCTTACAAAAGCTTATATAGTAGTTTCTTGTGTTTATTCTCAGTTCGACGATGAGCCCATCAGATTATGCATGCATATATATTTTTGCCTACCTCGCTGATTGCCATTACACACCACTAATTTTAAAACGTCGCTGAATCGTAGGTATGGTTCGAATCTAGCAGTAACAAGGCAAAATCTCTGCGATGCATTCCGAGAGCGGAGTTGGAACGCCTCCTTGGCCTGGCCCATTGCAAGATCATCAGTTCGATTTCGAACAGTGTCATGGATTCGTACGTGCTGAGCGAGAGCAGCTTGTTCGTGTCTGACAGTCGGTTTCTGCTGAAAACCTGCGGCAGGACGACGCTGTTGCGCACCGTTGAGCCACTGCTGAATCTGGCAAAGGATTACTGCAATCTCGACGGAATCACGGTAAGCGTTGTCTTCGTCGTATCTTACTGATCTGACTTCCGCAGAACATGTTTTATTCGCGAAAAAACTTCATGCGACCCGAATTACAGCCGTATTTGCATCAGAACTTCGAAAATGAAGTCGTGGTCTTGGACAAATTTTTCGACGGTATGACTGGCTGCTCGGATTAGTTTTTTTCTCTGTTTTCTTCTCTTCTTGAGTTTGGTGTTGTGACGATAGGTATGCACCTGACTGATCCAAAACCAGATTTCACACTGGGCGAAATCAGGTCTTGAGAAATTGAGCGCTTCGAAACGCACTCCTGCGAGAGCTCTATTTTTGTGTGATATGCCCTTCCCCCCACATCATGTCTAGGAGCCAGTGGGCGATAAAATATTGCCGTAAAACCCAGTGTAATAGCATATATAGTCATTTAAACCATTTACTCTAGTCCACGAGCTTCTCATATGGGGAGCCAAAATATGGCAGACGTCGAACCAGAGACCCAGCGTACAACATAATGGAACGAGATAGAGATATCTGCTTTTGGGGGAGAAATTGTTCCTTCTACGGTGCAATAACTAGTGGCTTAGGACAGTGGTGTTGAAAAGCTGTTAATATCGTGAATATCACACATCTGATGTTAAGCTTATGCAAAAGGGTCAAGATAGTGACCTCGAAAATGGCACAAAGTTCGCACATATGCTCATCTTTATTCACCGCTGGAGTATTGATGTAGGCCAACGGCAGTTGGTGTACACCAAAATGTAGATGTCATGGAATTTTCCCCATCTTCCGGGTGTACGTTTCTGTTTCAAATTGTTGCTTGTCGTATCACATCACGTTCGCATCATTCAAAAATATGAATCCATCCCCTGGGATTACATTAATTAATAAACGCATATATCCGCGGAACCTAGTTTGTCCTTTATTGCACTGCCCCTTTTCTTTAGGATTCCCGAAGAAATCATTTAGTATACATGGCTGCGTAATATTTATTTGTATATGCGTAGATTCCTCTTGTATCGCTATAGCAATACTTTGATCGTAACCTGTAAATTTTTTAGGAACAATGCCCTTTACGTGTTTTCGTGAAACATCGACAGTATGATCTTGTCCTATTACGTAAAACCCAAACTGTAAACTGCTGGCACTGACGCAATGCTTGTAGGTCTGAAAATTGGTCGTTTTGCTGTGCTCCAGCTACCACATTTTTGCTTTCAGTTGATGTTGGACACCTCATTAAGATTCAGATTTTATTACTTGAAGCTGCATCGCCGAGCAGTGCTCTGTTTTCTGTGTCACTGCAAGTATCCTGCTACGGAAAAGAGACGAAATCATTTTGTACTGCATAATATCACAGGCGTATGACAAGACAACGACAAATGTCTATTTTTGTTCAGCGACGCATCAGTTTACAAGCTTAAGCAGTATTATTTTTCTAGATTTTTTTATATTTAAGTGACATTTTTCTTTCCACTTCCTGACATTCAGTAAACATTATCCTGATCATAAGTAATCATCTTCAGTTTAGAGATGGCCTGTTGGAAAGATTACACCATGTTTTGAGTGGTAGTTAACGTGGGCAATGCCCTGTGAATTCTTCCATCAAATTATCCAATTAGAATATCTTTCTCAGAAACGAATTTGCCCAGGTGAATATCAACTTGTGCACATATTTGATATTTTGTATCACAGAATGAATCCTTGGCGTTGTGGCGATCAGCCTCAAATAGCCGAATCGTGGTAGCTGCGTGGATATCGTGAATTCTTGCAAGCTGTATTTGTCTAAGAAGAATTGGTAAACTTTCTCTGCATATAAGTCGTTGGATATTTGTAATGCTAATTCTCCTTTTAATACTACTTTGTCTACTTTTCTAGGCATTTTTTAATGTTGTTCGAATCTGAAAATTGTCACGTTTTGCCATCTTCATACATTTGAACTGCTGGGTCATGAAAAGGGCCGTTCGATTTCAGATGATGTGTTACCCTCATGACGACCTTTGTCTTGCCCGTATGATGAGGAGATCTGCACTGGGCACATGACGTCTGATCACATGCTGCTGACTCATGTTTTACCTCGTAGAACGGAGTAGACGACTGAAGATCTCTCATCTTCGTCTGGAAAGTTGTGTTCAGACATCTTTCTCTTCTATGTCTGAAACCCTAATTTGTTGCTAAAGGTGGTGCAGAAACGGTAAATTTGTTCGTGGCTTTGTTCATCCGTTCAGGATGATGAAAATCGCCCATAAACTCATGCAATACTTCTGAAATAGTTTATCCTTCCGAATGTGTATTCGCATTTGCGAAGCAACCTGGTTCTGATTGACCAGTTGTTATCTGTTCTTAAAAATATACATTAATGACCCTAGCAACGATATTCGTGTCCTTATTACAGCCGGTCATGATGTTATGAAGTTGAAAATAGTTTCAAAAAAGCAACATTTGTCTGTTTGGCATTCCCTGCCAAAACAGCCATATATTTTGCTTGCGGAGTCGCATCTTCTTTAGATCGACATATGATTAGTTTTAAAATATTTGGTTAGGATTCGAGTTTTATAGACAGGGATGGACGGCGACGTTTTTTGTCTATTTTATGATATTTCATGTCATGGTTTATCGTCGTGGAAATCTTCATCATCCACTTCGATGGAAATTATACGTGGTTTCATTATCCTGATCATCAGTATTCCTTACCGGTATGTCTGCATAATGGAGTATTCTCCGTTAGCAACTTAACTGTTATACCACGTAGCGTTAGGGTTCTTGTCGAAGCAATTAGACAGACGTCGAGAGGTAGGCCAGGTAATCATATGCGACGACAGATATAACTATTACAGTTAGGTACATGAACATAGTGCTAATAAGCATGGAGCGTCCATTATATCTTGATTTTGATCAATCCTTGTCACTGTCAGCAGCTGTCCGATCAACGTTCATTAAGTTGCCAGGCAGAACCAAAACCTGCTGCATTACAAGCGTTTAGCGATCGTTCGAAACTGCCGATCTATCTGTTTAGTCATGCATGGCCGTGATAGACGTTAAGATCGAAATGGATATTAAGCCATTTTCTTTATATTGGCGGCAATACACAGTAATTTAATCATTGTATGTTCTTTGTATACATATCGTGTTTTTTCTGTTTGGTTTCACATTATGCGAAAAAGTCATTTGTGATTGAACACTTATCTCTTATTAAAATCCGAATCTGCACCACTTTAATTTAGTAGAATAGGCTGCATTGCTCCTGATGAAATTTTTCTAATGACTGATATTCACTTATTAGTTCGGCTTCGACACCGTCCGTTCTGACATTGCTTAGCGAACGACTGCAACAGGTGCGAACTGTTCGTAGCGTCAACAACCAGTGTGTTCATTCGCTTTATTGGTGATGTTTAATAAAATGAATTATTTTTTATATCCACGTTACGTCTGATTTATTTTGAAATATTCTGCTCCACAAATTGTGTTTGCAGATGGAGCGGGTTACTGCCTCGGTAGACTGAACAGTGACCGATGGTACCTGTACACGCTGAATCCCTCACCGGGTGTGATATCAATCGCTGACCAGACCGTTGAAGTACTTTACAGTAATATGTATACAGTTCGCGTTATTTGGTGGAATGTATAGATTCTGATGTCCGACCTTGATCAGTCTATCATGAGCAACTTCACGATGAGTGTTTCTTGTACTGCTGCGGAAGCACGCAAAGTAGGAGCTGGGAAACTTCATGTCGGAATCGATTTTTCATAAAATATTTACAGTTATCGGGCATGGATAAACTGTTTCCACCAGACCTGATAATCGACGAGAAACTGTTCAGACCATGCGGTTACAGCATGAACGGCATTCTGGGCGAGAAGGTATGTCATGTACCGTGATGAGACGCTTACCATGTGAAGTAATGTTTGCACCGTGTATGCATAATCCTTGGCCTTTGCAGGACAGTTACATAACAGTGCACATCACGCCGGAGCAGGACCATTCGTACGTCAGCTTCGAAAGCAATATCCGCTTTCCGCATTACCACGACCTTGTCGCTCTTGCCGTGTTCCTTTTCAAGCCGAGGCGTTTCATCTGTACTATTTTTGCCAAGCAGGTGTGTCGTCTGGCGTTTTTTTCTTGTAGCGATGACCGTGTTCTGTTTTCTAGGGATCCAAAGAATATCGTCGTACAAAAAAAGAGTTTTCAGAAAAGTCCATTCCGGGTTTCAAGATGTGCGACTTGCAACTTCTTAGCCTGCCAAGTCACGCGTTGATTTACGCTCAGTTTCAAAAGCATGCTTACGTAAATTCTGCCAAAAAGCTAATTGAATGAATGGTTTTTATCGCGTTTACCCTGCAGATTTTAATCACCATATGTTCACTTTAAATGCTGGAAAAGTAGACGATGATTTGCTGCGGCTAAATGAATAAAACGAACGTTTATCGATTATTGTCTTGTATCGTCACAAAATTTGCTTCATGAATTTTGCGCCGTTCATGTTGAAATCAGTATAAACACGACTCATTCATAAGAGTTTTAAAGATGCCAAAATTGCGACCTGTTTTAGCAATTTCTGCCGAATGTCACATAAATCCTGTTGTTCAGGATTCTTCGAGCTCAAAGCTTTATTGCTATTCTGCCTGGAAGGCATCATACCCATAGCTGAAAGAAGCATGGGTACAAAGTTCGCTGATTCGTTTACACTTTTCGGAACATGTTTCACGGTTTCAGGATGTCGCATGATCCATATTACATTGATATTCGTACATATAATCCATAAGATTTTTGAAGACAGACTTCAGTAGGCGCATTAGCATTATTCGAGAAATTGCACACGAATAGTTCTTTCAGCACACCTTGGCTTCGAGGTTGGATCATCATTTACACAATGGGATCCCTGGTTTCTCAACTTAGGGGATACCGTAGAAAGATTTTTTAACTGCTTTTACCCAACTTAGCAATATTTTTCGGCGGCTTTGGAATTTCCTTACAACAGAAAACTTCGTTTTGTTTTAAAATGTATCGGACGTCGTCATCGAAGCATTCTATAAAGTTAAATGTCGGTTTGGTACTCAAAGCTATTTCGCACATGTCAATTTTGTTCTCAGCAACCTGCGACAGGCAAAGGCTAATTTCACGATTGCTGGTCGCGTACAGCTCAGAATGACAGTTCAGTTTTGTAGGTGGCTTCCTCGGCAATTTTTCGACCATCAGTTCAAATAATGCCCTAAATTTACAGAAACTTTTATCTGGATCGCTTATCCGATGTGTGGCAACGAAACAGCTGAACATCGCTTTCAGCTGCCAGATTTTAGCTTCATCATTTGCCTCTTAGAATCAAACAAGTGCTGTCACATCCATACCCGTCATTTACTGAGAAAAATTACGCATTAATACTGGCTGTCAGTACTGTTCTTGATTCAGTGCCAGGATTGGTTACTGTCAAACTTAGTTTTCGATTATGTTTTTATGTACATAAATTCTCACGGATAGTGGCATTTGGGTAAGTGTCTGGATTCGTTCGGCCCGGAATAGTAATGCGGATTTACGTCCATGCACAACGGATACTAAAATACAGTGGAGCCCTGGCCTGCTTAAACGGACCCATAGGCTATCGGAAGCAAAAGATGTAAATCGGGTGAATTGACAGGAGATTGTAGACATTTTTATTTTGCTATTTTCTCATGCTGTTTGCGCTGTGTTACATTGCCTTGCATCAATACTTACATATTAAAATTCGGTACTTAGCTGGGCTCACCGACGGGAGATGATCGTCGAATAGTCACTTGGTCTTCCACAGCGACGGTCAGAAGAATATATCAGGAGCCACGACGGCTGCGTTTGGAGAGAGAGAGAGAGAGAGAGAGAGAGAGAAAGAGTCATACTTCGTCTCATAGGCGTACATCACAAAGTAAATGAGAAGGACGCGGTTATTCACAATAAATAGTGCTACTGTATGATATTACGATGTGCTACTGGGAACGGCATATTTAGCCATGAAAACATATTGCAAAGTACGACGACAGCACTGTGACGGGCTAGTGCATTCCAGCATTAAATAGGCAAG